ATCAGAAACCCCATCAACAATTAAAAATCCCCCCATAAATAGTTAAATAAATAATCCATTACAAATCAAATCTAAACAACAAACACTGTACATAAATACTAAAAACATTCAAGATGATGGGGAGGCAAGGTCAATCACCCCATAAGCCACCTCCACTGGTGCGAGCCCCCATCTGGCCCCCAGGCCCTCTGGCACAGCCAGGATTTCACGCCTTTCCTGAAGGCCATGAGAGTGGGGGCACACCGGATTTATGATGTTTTTTTAAAGTATTGTGGCCATCCTAGCTATAGGGGCTTGAGCCAGTATTTTTAATTAGTTGTATATGTTTTTCCAGTTTCTGGGAGGGAGGACATTTCAGAGTGAACTCTCAAAATGAGATAAAGGAGAAGGGAAAGCAGAATTTAATGATTCAAAAGGTTGGAGTGGCTTCAATATTTTTTTCAATTTTTTAAAATCTCCCGGCTTGGATATAAGTATAATAGCACAAATTTGGCACCTTAGAAAAGCATGGTTATGTTGGCCAGGACCACTTCTGTTTGTCCAAAGTAACCAAAGTAACTCCTAATTAAGAGCCTTAAATAATATTTTAAAAATGAAACACACAACTTTTTCTATTAAGTGGATCCCTAGCCAGACATTCCAAGTTATAATCTGAGCCAAGCAATTTAGTAAGATCCACTGAAATATTCAGCTAAATGAATGATCCTCTCTAACTCTTGCTTGGATATGAAGCTAGTTTGAAAGGGATCCAGAGAATCTCCATCATACAGGAAACCCTCCAGCTGAGATACTCTGTTTAATGAATGTCTCTTTGCACGTGCAGTCCCAAGCATTCTTTATAGAAAGCAAATCCCACTGAACGTGTAGAGACAAGAACAGCTGAACAGGGGTTGCCAGGTTCATACAACGCTCTAGGTTGATCTAAAAGGGGGTTGGGTAGTTTGTGGTTCAGGGCATTGCAGGAACCCAGCTGTTCTCTGAGCAAGTTGGATAACCACCCTACCATGTTCAGCCATATTTTGGTTTGTTCTCTATATCCCAGACAGCAAGACATACAAGAACTGATTTAAGGTACAGGAAAGCAGGTTCTGATTGGATTAAAAAACAATAACTATCATAGTGAGAGCAGAAACGGAAGGACTCTGCTTTACTAGATGCCTCCAAGCAGAAGCTAGACATCCATATGCGCAGGATGAACTTGGATTTGGATTCCTGCACAGAGCAGGAAGGTGGGCTTGAAGGCCTCAAGGGTCCCCTCCAAATCTAGAATTCTGTGTGAACACAGCAATTATGATCTGTTGCCCCTGTTTTAGGGGTTGGCATATTGTATGAACTTGGCTACGGAGTGAAAATGAATATGGATGAAGGGCAGGTGGGTGTGATGGAGAAAAAAGCAGAGGGGATCAGTAGTCAGGTGTTCTTAGATCAGCTGCCACTACAAATTCTTGGATACCTTTACTAATGTGTCATCAGCTCCCTGGATAGCCATGCCTCCCACTTTGGTGGGCCATTTTTATCAGCAGGTTTAGTAGCTTTTCCCCCTCTGACCCTTTCTTTGATGTTCTTACTGGCATTCCAGATACAGAAGGTTTCTGCTCCTTGCCTTCTAGGCCAAGGCCCAGATTGGCAGACCTGCTTGAAAAGAAACAACTCTGCCCTTTCTCGTCAGCTGCCTTTGAAGCAGCTGCTGTTGGCCTTCTCTTGAGGATGTGCCATGTTCCTCCGTTACTCTTCAGCTCCCTATAATTGGTATCTTGGGCTTAGAGCTGCTGCCACTACTCCTCTTGTCACTGTACCAGAAAAGGGTTGTGCCCGCTACACAGTGAAACAGAAGAACAGCTTGCAACGCCCTGAAGATTAGCATGGAGACTCTAGTGAGCTTTTGTTGGCAAGAGCCCCTTTCTCTGGGCGCATTGTGCCATGGGCCCGTACAAATGCCTGCCACAGTTAATAGAGATCTAAGAAAAAGCATTCGCCCCTTCAGATGTTTTGGATTTTTGCATGTTGGCAATTCAGTGCTATTAGAACTTAAGAGGGGTCCTACTGAGATGAAAGGGGGGGGGGTCTGTCTGAATAAATAGTACCCATGTTTGATGCTTGTTTCATCAATCAAATGGGCTAGAAGTCTGTATCTTTTCAACAGGGAGTCGGTTTCCATATGTCTATTGCTTTGGTAACAGATTGATCTGGCATCAGGTTGTTTGCTTGTGACAATGTGAGAATTGGCTCCCATCGTTACAGTGAAGTTTTAACTGTCCAGACTCTAAAGGTACATTATGTCCTACTCAGAAGAGTTTCTGAAGATCTCTGCAAAAAAAGTCATTGACAGCTACTGGCCTGCTTCAGCCACACTATTACTTGTACTCAGTGGCTAGCAAGCAGAAATCAAAAGCACAGCTTTTTGTTAAACAAATTATATTGCAGAAGTTAGAAAAGCCAGAATTAGGGCAGAAATCCAACAATTGCCAACTATAAACTCAAAGTCTTATATATATAGTATTCTTAAGGTTCAAGTCTTATTGTGCACCCAATAATCTGAAGGCCAGTCATTTCTCAGCAGGAGGAGCAATTGCAATGGACTTGCCTGGTCTCAAGCTGTTTGTTGGTCTCATGCTCTGCGCTGTCTCCCTTGCCATTGGCTCCTTCCTCTCCTCCCGGGCTACAAAGCTCCTGGGAGTTTCAGCCTGGGACCCCCTCCTGCTTCCATCTGTATCATGGCTGCTGGTTTTAAGGAGCCATAAGGTTCTTTGTTTCCTCTATTTTAGCAAAGAAGTACAGCTGTCTCTGTAACTTTCACAACAGATGAGTAGTTGGGAAAACGAAACTGCTTCTGAAAAGGAGAAGAATCAGAATTTCCTTTTGACATTTTGACCTTGATGGGCTAATTTCAAACACTGTCTGCAGTTTAGTCCTCCACTAAGAACAATATTACTCTCCCCTTATTTATTCAACCCATGTGTTGAATTGGAAGAAGATGAGCATGGATTTAAAATTGGAGGAAGAAACATCAATACCTGTTGATGACGCTACTCGGATAGCCGAAAATACAAAGGATCTGCAAGCTCTGGTAATAAAAATCAGGGAGCACGGTGAAAATATGGAACTAAAGAAGACCATACTAATGACAACAGGTACAACAGCCAGCCTTAGAATTGACAATGAATATGTTGAAGTGGTGGAGAGCTTCTGTCTTTTAGGATCAACCATCAGCAGTAAAGCAACAAGCAGTCAAGAAACATGCTGCAGAGTAGCACTTGGTAGAGCAGCCACGAAGACCTTGGAAAAGATATTCAGATGCCATGATGTATCTATAACTACATAATAGTGCAGGCAATGGGATTCCCTATGTCACTCTATGGAAGCAAAAGTTTGAAGAAGTAGGATAGGAAGAGTATTGATGTTTTTGAACTTTGGTGTTGGAGAAGACTCCTGAGAATACCTTGGACAGCCAAGAAAACAAACTGATAGCTCATCAAACAAATCAACCCAGAGTTCTAAAAGATATTCAGATGCCATGATGTATCTATAACTACATAATAGTGCAGGCAATGGGATTCCCTATGTCACTCTATGGAAGCAAAAGTTTGAAGAAGTAGGATAGGAAGAGTATTGATGTTTTTGAACTTTGGTGTTGGAGAAGACTCCTGAGAATACCTTGGACAGCCAAGAAAACAAACTGATAGCTCATCAAACAAATCAACCCAGAGTTCTCACTCGAGGCACAAATGACCAGAGTCAAATTATCCAACTTTGGACACATTACATGAAGACCTAGCTCTCTGAAGAAGGCTTTTATGCTGGGGAAAGGTGGAAAGAAAGAGAAGAAGAGGACAACCAGCAGCGAGGTCGATGGACTCAGTCACAGTAGTGATGGGTGCACTGTTGGAAGATGTGAAGGACTAAATTAGGGAAGGATCATCGTGGAGAAAATCTATCTGTGTGGTCACTAACAGTCAACACTGACTTGATGGCATATAATCAATTAATCAGAACAATGAGAGAAAATGATGGCAAGAAAGAGAGAGAAAAAGGGAGGGACAGAAAGAGAGGCCGTTCGTCCTGGCCATACACGCCACTGACTTGAGAGCTCCTACAGAATTTTCCCAGGGAGGGGCCCCCCATGGGAAGGGCTACATCTGAGCTGGGGCTGAATAGCAGCAGATACTCACAAGCTGCTGCTACGTACTCAGGATCTCCCCCCTTTTTTTCCTGCAGTAAAACCCATTTAGCAAAGTTTTGATAATGGTTAGCCTGAATTACTGGCTGATGACAGAGGTGGAGGATGCTCACTAACACTGAATATGAACTAGAACTTGAATATGGATTGGCTCAGCCTCAGTTTCTTTGTTTCTTTTTCCATGGCAGAACGCAGCATTCCTTCCATAGTTTTTCTCTTTCCATTTTTGTAGAGAAGTTTTAATTGCAAAAAAAAAAAAAAATCCCCAACAACAAAAAGCAAAAGGGAAAAAGAATGAGAGAAAATCATTAAAGTTGGCTAAAAATAATAGACAGTTTACTTGGTATTTTAAATAAATTACCCACCATCACTATAAACGTGAAAACTGACTTTGAGCAAGGTTAGAAACTGTTTAGGAAGCAGAACACCTTACCTGTTGTTGTTAGGAAGCAGGAAAACGGGTAAACCTACAAAAAAGTATTTTTAATTGTCTGGAGTAGGTAAGCTGGTCCTGCACTTGCATTTAATTATATAAAAGTTATCAAACAGGAAGAGAAATGTAATTATGGCATACTAGCAAGATCATTTGAATTCTCAGTGAGTTAGAAACAAGGATGTGGGTTCCAGGAAATGGGGCAAGTGCCGAAGGAAACTTTTTGGTTTGTTTCATCAGAACAATTTTGAGAGGCAGCAATGTTAGTCTTTTCTAGTGAAAGCAACAGGAAGACATGTGATATATTAAAGACTAACAAATAATTATGCCATAAAGTTTTGTGAATCTCAGCCTACCTCATTAGGACCGTGCTCTGTGTATCTGACAAAATGGACTGAGATGCATAAACTCTTACATGATGATGCACTTGTTTCCCTACAGAATGATCCATGTTTAGACCAAGATTCATGGTTGGAGATGGGTAATTGCCACATTTCTCCAGCTGTAATATTATTGTCTTTCTTCCTATCAGAAAATATTTGTTAAGAAGCGAAAAGTGAATTAGCTGCACATTTCCGTTTTCTGCTGAACTAGCCTTTGGAGGCCTAATGCCCCCAACCCAGAAATAGTACCGAGCCTTCAAGACAAAGAGCCCTTGATAGACCTGTTGTCCATGAATTTATCTAACCCAAAGTCATCCATATGCCACCACATCTTATAGTAACAAATTCCACAGGTTAGTTATGAGCTGGATAAAGAAGTGCTTCCTTTGGTCTGCTCTAAATCTCCTTCCAATCAGCTTCATTGGATACCTTGGTCCTAGTATACCAGGGAAAACTGGCCTATGCTCTGTAGTTGAAGGGAAGCCAAGTTGATTCTTCTATGACATCTGGCAAGCTTTTGCTGCTTCACATACATATCTAATTCTTTGTCTCCAGGTATGACTCAAATACTCAACTGAACCGTGACCAGAAAGGTGAACTGGTCTCCAGCTCATCTGAACAAGAACCAGACCCCTTTTCTCCGAAACATCCAAAACTCGACCGTCCACTTTCTATTTGAATTTATAATTACAATTCATAATTGTAATTCCTTCCTAGGCAGCCATTTCCCAAATACAGGGTCATCATCCATCAGCCTTGCCAAGCCAGTCTAGTCCCCAATGAGCCAGATACATGAAGTGATGCAATTTTGCTGTGCAGTTTCTCAAGTATTTTGCTCCTGATTTCATTCAGAAGATCAACGTGTTTGGGAGAAGCTTATCTGCCATTTTCTCCTGGTAGTTTTTTTTAAACTCACTTTATTGTGGAGGCGGTGGTTGGTGTGAGTACTGGCATTATTTTCTGGAATGCTCTTTGGCATCGTTCTGAAGTTCCCTGACTGCTAATTTTTTGATCTGAGAAAGATCCCCCGAGGGGAGCCTCAGAACTCAGAGAGGCTGCGGATGGCTGGAAGGAGGATTCTGCCCTGAAGAAGAACGGTCTTCTCGCACACCTCTTAATGCTCTTGTTACTCAGAATTGTGTAAGAACACCACTATCCACCTAGGATAGTTTCTCCAAAATTCTCCTCTCCTTTGAAAGAAAAGTTAGAGCAAATTTCCTACCCTCAGATTAAATTGAGAGTTTCTTTGCCCAGTTCAGTTCTAGGAACAAGGGCTCAGCAGATCTTCAAAGGGGCTGCTTTGAACTGTGGAGTCCTTGATGCTCCCTGAGCTTGATCGTTTGCTTGCAGATGTTTCATTACCTGCCTAGGTAACATCATCAGTGCTAGTGAGTGTGGGGTTTGCTCCCTGTTTATATAAAGTAATTTGCCCTGCCAGTGTTGGTGGTTTTCTCCTTTGTAGTTCCTTGATTAGAGTATTGTTTTCTGCTTGATTGTTTGTCTGGTGTTAATCCCTGCTTATCTGGATGTTGGTTGCTGGAGAGGATGTGTTCTGGTCTTTTGGTTTCCTTCTTAGCTTTTTAACTGTCTCTTTTGAATGGTGTGTAAATGTGGTTTATCTCTGTGTCTGTTGATGGCTGATTTGTCTGAATGCCAAGCTTCCAGGAATTTCCTAGCGGTTTTTGGATTTGGCTTGATCTAGGATGCTCACAGTTACCCAGCTGAAATTATGGTTGAGTCTGTCCATGTGTTGTGAGATCAAGGAGTTTTAATCATGTCGTCTGACTGCTAGATTGTGTTCATGGATGCGCTTTGCCGCATTGAGGCAGAGTAGGGTCAAAGTACCACCTTGAATTGGACCCTTGTAGCGTCTGGAGTATAGTGATACCCTGAGGTGGAGCAAGACCCTCCACAAAAGCCTCCTGCTAATAGCACCTATAGAACAATAACTGAAAATAATTTAGAGGCAAGGGAATATTTCCCCTACTCACCCACTCCTTTTCGACTCACAAGACCATCTGTCCCAGGAGAATACTTTTCTCACCCCAGAATGGCAGTCACTCCTTTGGTGAGGTTGAAGGAAACACAGTAAAGCCCATTATGATGGGCTTGAGAATGCTTTTGAACCTCGCTCTCCAGAGCCTGGGAGAAAGCCAGCACAACTGTGATAGAAGGGACTCGTGTATGGGAATTTTACAGCCAAGATCAGGATGAGCAACCTGGAAGTCCAAAGGCAGTGTTTCACTTGGTTAAGTAATTCAGTTCATTTTCTGGGATAGCCATGTTGGCAGTGGTCATACAACATGCTAACATGCACAACCATACATATATGTGTGATTACAGCCGCCAAGAACATTAATCAAATAGATTAAGTGTGCCAGGAAAACATGGTCTTTTGTAAAAAAAAAAAGGTCTGTGCACGAAAGCAGCCTGACTTTACTAAGTAAGACTTTGGGAATGGCTACCTGCTCTACCTACTCAGGAAAAGGGCTGCCTTCTCACTTACTTGTGTTGAGTCTTCCTGCATCTCCCTGGATATTGAAAAGCCTTGAATGCCTCACCAGCTCCTCTCTCCTTTCTCTCTCAGTGCTGCAAGTTGGCTAAAGCCTCCCACAGCCCCACGGAAGAGCCACACCCCATACCACTTGAGTCCTGCCTATTGGCACAACAACAAGAACAAGCTTCTTCTCCTGGGTAGCTATGCATGTGTGAACATTGTCCTCTTCATCTTGGCTGCCCTAAAGCAGGCTGGCTCTGGCATCTGGATCGTGGTGGCCAAAGGCTGTGGGCAGTGCCTGAACTTCAACTGTGCATTCATACTGGTGAGGAACAGGGCCGCATCCCACAGTCCAAGCGGCCGGGGAAAATTGGAGCAGGGGTCCAGGAGGAAAACAACATTGTAACCGTTGTTCCAAGCTTTGGTTTAAATTATCACTTTTGAATAGCACATTTCTGCTAAGAACCACCACAGCATTGCATGGATTATTTTTTTAAGAATGATGAAAGTTTACTGATCCCTAGGGAAGGAAACATCTTTAACAGAGCAGTCGCTGCTGAATGGTTCTGGGGCAAGCCACGTTTGGGGCTGTGGACAATCTGGAACTTTGAAAGCACACAGCGGGCATTCTTACAAAATGCTCTCTATGCAGAGTCACAGAGACATTGAATTAATGGGTGGAACGGGCCAGAAAAGACTCATTTCCTGCCTCCTCTATTGCCTTACTCTTGGTGGTCACCAGCCCCCATGTTTCACTTGGGATTCTGGCAGAGGTGCCAGGCAGGCATCCCTCCTAAGAAAGCCCTGGTTGTCAGGTTCAGCCCAAAGAACTCCACGAGACAATGCAATATAGTTCTGTTGTGTTTATTAGCTTCCACCTCAGGACAGAAATCTCTTCAGACTGAACCTGTTCCCAAGCCAGCAAGCCACAATACTGTGAATTCCTTAGGGTGGTGCCAGTCTCGTCTTCTTAAACTTCCCACGTTCCTGTTGAGGGCTAAGGGAATGCTTATCTCCTTGAGCGCGGCCTTCATAACGCCATTCCATCACACTGGTCCCCCCCCCCTCCTGTTTCCAGAAATGGACATATTGAGCCCAGGGACTTCCTCTGAAATGCAGATGATGCCAGGGGCTGATCGCTTTACCTTTCCAACTTGTCAACCTCCTTAATTAAAAAAAATCAATGAACTAATTATCCCATGGGGCTGCAGACTGCCAGTGGCTATACTGTTGCCCGCGCGGCCTATCCTTGGCATACTAAGTCCAAAACGTTGACTAATGTGTGTCAGAATGCATTTCCAGTCAAATCCAGTGCCGAAAGCTCCCATCCACAGTGGGAAGCCATGAGGGCAGACACCAGAAATCCACCTTCCTCCTTTTCCTGCCTCCCAGGGCAAAGCCAGATGCAGACCCTGCAAAGTCGGAACTAATGTTCATAAATTCTCCGTCCATTTCTACATCACCTTCCTGAGCCAGAAAGCAGCTTGCAGAGAGAGAGCAGACCAGGGCAAAGCAATTCCTAAGGCCTCAGAGCAGGGGCATCCGTCTGGGGGGGGTGTGTGTGAAAAAGATCAAGAGTGTGGCTGCAACAGCATAACCGAAGGTGCAGGGCTTCAGTCACATGCTTGCAGCCGCCATCTTGACTTTTTTGATCCCTTCGGACACCCTTGCATAAGAGGTCATACCCTGGTGAATCAGAGCTCTGGAGGAGTAGGTGTTTGGAGATAGGACGTACAGGGAGTCCCCACTTTAAGGACGAGTTCTGTTCCCAAGGTCTGTCCTTAAGTCAAATTTGTATGTAAGCCGGAGCAGTGTTATTGCATAACATTGTATAAGTAGTATTGCATCATGTAATGAACTCGAACCATTATATATTTAATTCGAATCATTGCGCATTTAACTCAAATTTTGCTATATTAGGCTCCGTTCTCAACTATGGGTCATCTGTAACCCAGCCATTCTTAACCTGGATATTACCTGTAGTGACAGAATAGTTTCTGTGTAGATGTATTTTAAGATTTTCTTATTTATTAAACAGAAATATTTCAATCTGCTAGGTAAACATTCAGCTTAAAACTTCAACATAGATCTCTTCGCTGTGTACTGAAAAAGGGAATAAGGGGATCAAAGGTTTGCAATAGGGCACATGTGACATTATTTTCTCTGACGTTAAAATTAAATTGAGGCTGCTGTGGGGAAAAAGTTGGTAACATTGAGTTGATCTGAGGTGTGGGTCATCCGTAAACTGGGCATTCTTAACCCGGGGACTACCTGTATTGAACTGACTAGCCCAGGAATGCACTTCATACTGGATCACATGTTCCTGGCTATTATATTCAAACTGAAGAAAAGGGTGGCAAAGATGACGAGCTCTTAGATCAATAATTGCAGGGTCCCTTCTTCTGTTCCTGGATACCTGGCAGCCCTTCAACATAGGCCAGGTCGGAAACAGACTCCACAAGGATTAGGGGAACTCTGTGGTTGCAGGATATAACTACAGAACCTTGAAAGCCTGGCAGAGTTTTCCTCTTCCCCTTCTTATACCAAAGGGAATCAAGGCAGGGCAATCCCAAACTCCTTTCTTGCCCCCTCCTCTCTTTCTCTAAGCTGATGTTTATGTAACCATATTGCATTCTTTCTTCAAGGTTACTTCTCTACTCCACTGCAGTGTCTGAGTTGATGAATTTGTGGTTCTCCCCATAAAATTACCCATTCAGTTTCTTTCTCCCCCTCCGCCCCCCATCCCCAGGTGCTGATGTTACGCCGATCTCTGACCTGGCTACGGGCCACCTCGGTAGCCAGAGTTTTGCCTCTGGACCAGAATGTCATCCTGCATCAGCTGATGGGCTACATGGTGGGTGCTCTAACTACAGTTCACACGGGAGCTCACATCATCAATTTTGGTAAGTGCTGCTCAAATTTTCTGTATCGTATTGATATTTTTTCCTATTATTTAATTGCTATCCCAGAGCAGTTTATAAAAAGGATTACACATTTAAAATCTAAATAGAAAAATATCCCAAAACTGAAAGCCACAATGTCTACAAACATCATAAATTTTTAGCAAGTTTACATTATGTCTGAAATTTCAGGAAAACAAGTTCTCTCAGACTGAAGATTGATTTTTCACCTATGGTGCCATCCCAAAGAAGTTCCTGCCTCAGTTAAGATGTCATCTCTCTTCTTAATAATATGTTTGACTGGTAGCCAGCAAACCTTTTAAGCACCTGGTCCTAAGCCATGAAGGGTTATAATAGTAAGAAACAGCATTCTGAGTTTGGGATCAAAAATGGACTGGGAACCAGCATACCTGAGCAATATAGGATGTGTTTTTTAGACTACTAATTGTAGTTTGTGAACACTTTTCAAAGCCAGACCCTTGCACAAGTTCACTAGAGCCTAGGTAACAATGGCTGGGCTCTTTTTGAATTGTTCTTGTTTGTAAACTTAATTAATCTCTCTTCAGATAGATTCTTAGTAGTCTACTTGATACTGGAGCTGGAAAGTGCTCTGGCTGCAGAAGCATCAAAGAGCTTCACCCAAAAATGTCACTTACTTTAAAACCAAAGCTAAGTATTTACAGGTTGAATTATCTGAAAAATAAGCTGGATTTTGTCTCCTGTACTATTAACGGAATGCTATTCTTTTATAATTTTCTTTTTATTTCAAAATGCATTTAGACATTTTTAATCTTGCAATTCACCCAGAGAACTTTGGTTTACTGGGTAACAAGAACCAGTGCTATGACTACATAATAAAATGATAGTAAGAGTACATGGTGCACACATAGCTTGCTGTTGAATAGGCAAACTTTGCTCGCTCGCTGATTATGGTCCATTTATCAAGTGCTCAGCAGGAGTTTCTAGGTGTGGATGGTGAAAAAAGGGTGACCCCTTAATGTGCCCAGCAGCCTTCAGGTGTGACCACTACCTCGATTCTTTTACTCCCTCTGGAGATGTTGCTGGTGGACACCCATTGTTGATCTTTTGGATTTGTTCTAAAAACCAGGAGGAGCCTAGCAGCATGTTTTCAGACTAGTAAATGTTATTAAAAGACAAGCTTTTGTGAGTGATCCAGAAGTTAATGCATGACAGCTTCCAGTGTTGTCCAAACTTGGCCACTTTAAGAGGAGTGGACTTCAACTCCCAGAATTCC